AAAAAAAAAAAAAAAGAAAAACTTCTTTCCTACTGTCACCTCACATAATCTGCCTCCTGTCACCTCACATAATGTACCTCCTCTAGTACACTGTGATCTCTATTCGGGCAATGTCTTATTCATCTCTGTTGCCCTCTAAACCTTGTGTACAAAACAGGCATACTGATGTTTAAGACACCACTGTTTTTATCACCTCAAGTCTTGGCCATTGTCATCAGAAGCCACATCTTCTACATGCACCTGGTCACACTCCTGTTAAGAGACAAAACCAGACACTGTTTTAGTCCAAGAGAAGAAGTGCTATTATCACCGTGATCTATTGTAAAAAGACCACAAAAAATGGTGGGATGATGAAATACCTTATGGTCTTGCTTATGTAAGGGGGTTTACTCTGACCCCCCTTGTTGTCCAACTTCTTTTAAGGCTTGATTCACGTCCCACAGTCTTCGTGCAATCTTCCTTGACCACCCCAACCCCTCAGGAGTTATGCTCCTCTTTCTATAGTTCATTTTCCCAACAGCTGACAGGTATAACACAAGCTCCCTTACACTGTCAAGTGTCTGTCCTGTACTGCACTCTAACTTCTAATGGCAGGTCCCATATCCACAATCTCCTTTGCACCCCTCAAGTCTAGTCCAGTGCTCTCACATAGCAGATTCCCCACCACATTTTTGTACATAAAACAGATGCTTGTAGAATATGGTATCAAAACAAATTTATAAATGATGAACAAATTTACAAATTCAAGATTAGGAGTTAGAAGAGGTCATATTGGTCAAATCTCCTCATGTTCTAAAAGTCAGGTGAAATGATCTGCCCAAGATTATAAATCTGGTTAGTAGAAAGAAACTAGAATGAAACTGAGTCTTCTGATTCAAATTTAAGGTTCTTCCCACCAAGTCCATGCTACTATTACAAATGCCACCCACTGCCTAGATCTGACAGTCACTCCTCTGACACTATCCAGGGCAGCACTGTGATGTCCACCTGCATCAGAATCCTCTGGGGAAGTTTTTAAAAACTGCATATTCTTGGGTCCACCCCAGAACTACTTAAGTCAGAATTTCTGGGAGTGAAGTCCAAGAATCTTCATTTTTAACAAGCTCCCCAGGTGATTCTTATGCCCCCTAAAGTTGAGAACCACTGACCTGGGGGGCAGGAACACATTCAGGTCAAATTCTTCACAGAACTTTCAGTCCTGAGTGAGGACTATGTCTAGAAAATCATTACAAATACAATTTGGCAATAATTACTGGCACATAGTAGGTTTTCAATAAATGTTTGCTGAATAAAAACTATGATGTTCTAACTTATCAACAGGATAAGTTGAGGGAAGATTAAAGCATTGTGGAACTTAAGACAAAAAGTATTGAAGTTTAGAGTCCATTAATTTAGGTTTTTTGAAAATTGTCTGTTGAGTAAAACTACATTGTATTTAAAAAGAAACAGGATCACTTCATCTGCTTATAAAATACTATCTTATTTTATTTTAAGATTTTCATTATTAAAAAAATTAGGTAACATATGTAGCATACAGTTCAAAACTGGAAAAGAAATGAAGTGACAAGTCTGTTCCTTCCCACTTCTGTGTCCAAGCAATGCAGTTCACACCCCGATTGTAGGATAACTGCTTGACAGGGACCTAGAATGGGGAGATAACTTTTCTAACTTGGGATCTACATTTTGCTTTTCTGACTCTCAATCTTGTGCTCTTTCCACTCTACCACAGTTACTTCAAAGGTGAATTCAAATATAAAATTTAAAAAATTCCACTAAGGGACCCTCTCTAGTAGCTCAAAGGGTTAAAGTGCAGGTCTAGGAAGCTGGCTGCAGCTGCTTCAGTTGTTTAATCCCCCCAACCAGGGAGGTGACCACATGGCATAGCAACCTCTCCTGTCTTGCCTGCTGCTCCCCTTAACAGTGTACTTTGTCAAGCTGCCTGTTCTGCTCCCCACTCTGTCTTGGTGAATCCTCTTACCACCCCTGCACCTCTGGCCTGTACCCCAGTTATGTATGCATAAACAAACAAACAAACAAACAAACAAACAAACAAACAAACAAATAAATCTTTAATGGAAAAAAAAAATTCGACCAAGAAGCTCTCATTGTTCTTGGTCTTCCTTGCACCTAACTATAAAATGATTTTGGACATCAAGGTTAGCCTAAATATGGACAATAAGTATGCATAAAAATGCAAGCACTTAAGCAGTTACTTATAATAGATTTGACATATCAAGAGACTTTCTTTCAAGAAGGTAAAACTGAAGAACAGTCAAAATATAAGTGCGACAAATAATCAAACCCACTTCCTACATATTGTTTAGATGAAAATACTGAAATACTGGGTTATGTATTAGTGTTCTGCCTGATGTGTGGGCACATTTCTTAAAGCTAGATGACTTCCAAATGAGCTAACAAAAACTAAAGGCCCAAACCAAGATTGTGTGTGGGGATCTAACCAAGACACAGTTCTTGCAAGACTCTGGAATCCTATGTGGTCAGCTAGCCTCTCCATACCCATGCGGTCTGGCCACATTTCCTCCAAATACAACAAGCACAGGCTCAATACATAGATACTAAACACAAAGTTTTACTAAAGCACAAAAACAATTTAAAATAATTACCTCTAAGTCATTGAAGAAAAGATGTGTATCAGCCACTTCAAAAATCATTTCTTCCATTGTTAAACCTGAGCCAATCACTACTGTTGGGTCCTGGAAGACAGAGGAAATTTTGTTTGACTTGGTACTCACAAGTCCTGAGTGAGGAATACGTCTAGAAAATCATTATAAATACAAGTTGGCAGTAATTACTGGCACCTAGTAGGTTTTCAATAAATGCTGAATAAAAATTATGATGTTCTTCTATCTCATTAACAGGAAAAGTTGAGGGAAGATTAAAAGCATTGTGGAACTTAAGACAAAAAGTACTGGAGTATAGAGTCCATTAATTTTAGTTTTTTGAGAATTGTCTGTTGAGTAAAACATTGTATTTAAAAAGAAACAG